CGCGGGTTAAGAAGATATGAGTTGGGCTGATATATTTATGGCTCGCTAAAAAAACGGGTCAGACTGGACTGGACTAAAAAAAATTTAGATCGGAATGAGCCGGGCTGGGTTGGGCCGAGCCGGCCCGTTTTACACCCCTATATATATATATATATATATATGTGTGTATTGTCAAATTTCTATTTATTTTATTATATATTTTTAAAAATTATTTAATGACTTAGCAATCGATGAGATGATACGGGTTAATATCTCATTACCATCTGGTTATCGATTTTAACGTCATGTAGAGTTGAGTTTTTACCAACAATTTAAAAATTGAATATTTTTTTTCAAGTTTTGAAAATTAATTTAAATATGGGAGTCATAAAAAATTGTATAATTTTTTTTAATATCTGAAAGTTGGATGATCTTTTTGGAATTTTTACTTAAAAAAAACTTGAACGCCAATTATTATTGAATTGGAAGTTTTTTCGTCGTTAAAAAAATTTAAAATACGATTTTATCAAAAAAAAAAATTAAAATACGAGCAAATGAAACATACACAAAGGAAAAAAAATAGCTTATAAAACATACGAAGAGTATATAATACGTCTATCGTTTATACCAATAAAATTATTATATATTAAATTATAGAGCATAATATATAGATATATACATGTCACCCTATGAATACGTATAAAAATGTTCTTTCTTGTCACGTGGGTTTTTAATATATATTTTTAATCAATTTGACTTTGAAGTTATTTCGAGCTTGTTGGGGCATTTCTAAGTTCTTTAAACCAAATTGTTAATGATTTTGGACGCATTGATACAAGTTTTTTGTATTTAACATGTACAAAAGAATGATGAGATTATGATAGTTTAATTATATTTTTATTGTGTTCTATTAAATTTAATTAGTGATATATTATTCCGTGTTAACATTTTATATGTATATATATATGTATATGAAATGTAATATAATGGAAGCGATGAAAACAACGTTAAGAAGAAATCTTCTTGGTGTTCATGTCCTAGAAATTAGGTCAATTTCCTTAATAGTTGATCCAAACCAAATAAAATATAATTCGAAATTGATATAAAAACATAGTTGTTATAATTTCTCTAACCCAAATCAAACCAAATCGAAAAACACAACCACAAATTTATTCGAAACACGAATATTTTTATTAATAATACGAAATCCAAACTGAAATAGAAAATAACAAACCGGATTTAATATAAAAACCGGATGATTTTATTTTAATGAAACCGAAACATAACCGAACCAAACCGAAACCCTAAAAGGCCATCCCACCCACCACCCACAAGAAGCAATCAAGCGCTATCGTCAGACGCCAAACGCAAACGCTCGGCGAGCAAATCGCACAAACCATCGTGCAATTCCACGAAAGTGTCATGCACTAGGGTTCGGTCATCTTCGTTCATGCCCTCGATCGGAGTCTTCCACCAGAACGTATCTAACTTCTTCTCTTCCACCAGATCCTCCAACGCCTTCTGCTTCTCCTTCTCCTCCTCCACCTCCTCGGCGAGCTTCTCGTACGTTTCGGACAGCTCCTCGATCCGCTGTTTCCTGTACGCTTCCCCGACGATCTGAGCATTGTCTCGAGGGGTCTGGCGTTTAGGGTTTGTGAAACGGTTAGCCACGACCTCCATTGAAGGGTGCGAAAAGGTGAACGGTGTTCCTACCTGAGAGAACACCAAGAATCCGACTTCAGCGTCGCAGGATGTCACGAGCTCGTTGATTTTTTTGAAGATTCCCGATCTACGTTTCGAGAATGTTATCATGCGATCTTCCTCGTTTTCGACCTTTTTCATGTCGATTTTTTGTTTTCCTTTTGTGGTCTTAACCATATTTTCGAATGTGGAGATTCTTGGTTTTAGTTCGGTGAATTGGCGAGTCGGAAAGTGAAATGTATTTATAGGGAAAAATAGTAGAAAAACGGTTATAATTTTTAAAATTGTCTTTTGGCAATTAATTTTATTTTATCTTTTGGATCGGCTAGTCAACATTTTTCTGTCCGGATTCTCTTTTGAATGACATACGCAAAAATACAAAGTTGACTCTGAATATGTAAGGTTTAAAGGTATTTATAGTTGAACGCCGTTTAGAATACTTCGTGGTCAATAAAAAAAATACAAAGTTGACCATCGTCTTAATCATATTAACAATTGAAAAAAATATATATATCTTTGATAATCTCGAATGAAAAGTTTTATATATATATATATATAATTTTCTATTTTTTGTATGTTTTATTTTTCTAGATTTTGTTAGTACATGATTAATATGGATTTTTTTCATTTTTCGAATTCAAATTTTTTTTAGTTTAGTTTTTATGTCCAATTTTGATTAATTCGGACTCTGTTTAGTTTTTGTTTTCTTCAAAATATATATTAATTTTTTAATAAACTAAAAATTTCAATTAATTTTACTTAATAAAATTAAAGCACAATTGATTTTTAAAAATAAATGACAATCTCGACTTACTAATTATCTTTGATTCAAATATTATTATATTGCCATATATGTTGTTTTCACTAGGCTTAAATAAAACTTTTTTTCCTATTTGCAAATTGTCTAATATAAAAAAAAAACATAACCAAAGCCCTATTAATATTTAATAACGTATGCATGGATAGATATAATGTACGTCTTCATTGAACCGTACGGCCTTCTAAAGTTCTAAACCCATACAATAAATAAATGCATAATGCAATTTCAATCCGTGAAATATGAACATTGAGTTATTAATCATGCCAAAATTTTCATTAGATTTTTGGTTAGTCTCATTTATTCTGTGACAGGATATATAACATTTTTATTTTTATTTTTTAAAGTAGAGGGACATTTAATTAATTTGATCAAGCAATAAAATAACCAAACCTAAATCTAATATATTATTATAAGTTAAAACACGATGGTAATAAAATAACCAAATGTGGACCAACCCTAAATCTAATATGTATGTTGCTATACATTAAAATAATACGATCGATAATAAACAATTAAATACTTGCATATAAATTAAAATAATACGATCGTTACCATGAAAATACGATCGATAATAAATCATGCATCTGAATTCATTTGGAAATTGAATGGCCGCAATTAGGGGTAGGCGAACGGTCGGTTACGGGTTAATTGGTTACGATTATTTCGGGTTCGGTTATTTCGAGTTATTAAATCTCATAACCAAACAGTTAATTAATTTTATTCGATTCGGTTCGGTTTCGGTTCCATTCGGCTCGGTTTTGTCTATTTAAAACTATAACCAAATAAAGATTCGGTTCGATTCGGTTTCGATTCGGTTATAATATTTAAAAAATCAATTCATTTATAATTAAAAATATTCAAATAAAATATTATCATAATTATTTTAACATATAAAATAATAATATCTAAATTTATATTTTGATATAAAACTATTAAATAAATAAAGATCGTTTTTTTTCTAATGTTTATATCACACGAACTCTAAAAATAATAATAAAATGCATTTAAAATATAATAAAACAATGATTAAATTAAGAATATAAATATTTATATATGTATATAAATATATATAAATGAAGATATATAAACATTTCGGTTCGGTTCGGTTCGGGTTCGGTTAATTCGGTTTATAAAAATTTATAACCAAACGGTTAATAATTTTTAATCGGTTCGGTTCGGTTCGGGTTCGGTTATTTCGGGTTTTAAAAAATCATAACCAAACGGTTATTTAATTTTATTCGGTTCAATTCGGTTCGGTTCGGATATTTATCGGTCGGATTCGATTCGGTTATTCGGGTTTGATTATTTTGCCCACCCCTAGCCGCAACCTTTTGGATCGTTTTCATGGACGGAAATATTTTTCTGAAAATTAGAATTTTAGAGAAATTATATTTATCGTCCGAATTTGGGGCTACATTTATATAGAATTTGTATTTCACATTCTACACACCAAAACAATTAGAAGTTACATAACGATATATACACAATTAATCCCTATACTTTTCGGATATATAGTTTATAGACCATAAATCAAATAGTAGTAGCATATAATAAGCGCCATACCATACCAACCCACATAACTATTAGAAAAAATTGCATATTAGTCCATGAATTTGAAAGAAAAAAAACAATATAGAATTTAATAAAATTCTTATATTTCTTCTAAAAATTTTGTAATTCATATATTTATGGACAACTTTTTTACAAGTTCATGTGTCAACAAGTGATTTTTGTATGTAACTTACTTATATGCATGTTATTTTTTTTTGTATAATGCAAATTAATTATTCATTGAAAACATATTTTGAGAACTATATTTCCTAAACTACAAGAACAAGACATTGAAGTAAACATAATGAGAAAATGTCTGTTCATGAACTGCAAAAAATCCAACAAGTAATGAGTTCAATCTCTTCAGTAACACTAACAAGATCCATCAAAGACAAAAAAGCTTCATACTTTCATCATGATTCAACCAAAAAACCATGAATTCAATCTCACCTTGTGTCATATACCTTTTACATGAACAAGTTGGGTTTGGAAGCCTTGTACGTTGTTTTGAGCTTCCTGGTCGGCGGCCTAACCTTCCTGAATACCAACGGGAACTTGATCTTGCTGTTGTGAAACTGCTTCGTGCTCTCTCTCTTACATAGCTTGGCCGGGACGGTGGCTGTCTTAATGATCTGGATGCACGGGAACCTTACACGGTGTCGGGATGCCATCTCGGTGTACATCTGTTCCACCGCACCGTTCAACGTGATGTCGCGGTATTCCTTGTACATGTTGTGGTATCCAGTTCGGCTCTGGTACCTCAGCCAGATTCCGTAGTTCTTGATCTTTGTCGGGTTCTTCTCAAAGATCTGCCCGAGTCATTCAGAGTAAACATGTCAAGTAAAGAACCTCGATAGACAATACCATGGACTGTGACTCAAACCCTAACAGCCTAGTGTAGACTTGTCAGAGTAAACATATCAGATAGATTCCATAGCTCGTGATCTTTGTCAGGTTCTTCCAAAAGAACTGGCCGAGTCATTGAGAATAAACATGTCAAGCAAAGAACCTCAAGGACAATACCCTGAACTGTGACTCAAACCCAACAGACAAGGGTAAACTTATCAGACAACAGATTCCATAGTTCATGATCTTTGACGGGTTCTTCCCAAACATCAGCCCGAGTGATTCAGAGTAAACATATCAAGCAAAGAACTTCAAAGACAATATCATGAACTGTGACTCGAATACTAACAGACTAGTGATGGTGCCAATAGCAGAAACAGACATTAATGTGTGTTCACTAATCTTTCGGAGTTGCAGAACAATAGTTTGCATAGGTAACACATCAATTCCAAGACAGGACAGGATGCCGGATGTGAGAGGAGAGATCAAGACAGGAAAATATCCAGCTAAACCAACATAAACCAAACATTAGGAAAGCAAAGCTCGAATCAAAAACTAAATTTATTTAATTTAGGCAATAATGGAATTAGATCATTGGTTCACAGGCACTCTTCATGATCAACATCAATGGAGGTCAAGATGTGAGTAATACCCCTAAGATTTTGATACAATTACTGTAAGAGATTCAGTACAACAAGAGACATCCGCCACAAAGCTTACGAGTAATATACACGAAGATTTTCAGGACAAAACCCTAACGCCGGAATCAGAACTAAGTTCAGATCCTACAACCATTTTCTTTAATCAACGACAAAAGAGCAAAATTTAAGTACCTCATTGATGGCAAGGATCTGTCCATTGCTTTTCTTAACCTTCTTCAGCTTCCTCAAGAAGTACCTGAATCCAAACACGAACACGAAAATATTTAAACAAGAGGCGAAAACGGAGATCAAACCCCAAAAAAAAAAATCGAGAATGAACCCAGATACTGACCAGAACTTGGACTTGGCACGAACCTCGTTCGTGGCCCAGAGCTTCATCCTGTAAATCTTGGGGTGCTCATCGGTCTCTGTCGGGAGAGCTCTTCCGCACAGGACATGAGATCAGATCAGATTCGAAAAACCTAAGAAAGACGACAGCAATGGCTACGGAGAACAGGTTTCAAAACAACAATTAGGATATGAACTTACCCTGAAAGTGACCATTTCTTCCTCGAGAGGATAGAGTAATGCCGCTAAGCGCAACTCTTGCAGACGATTGAATCCTCCAGGAGTCGGAAGCTAGGGTTTTTACGGATTATAAATGAGGTCGTGGAGAGAGAGTGCAAAAGAAAAAAAAACCCTAATTTCAGTTTTTGTTTATAAATAGCCCAATGGGCCTTGATCTTTAAAAGCCCGATAAAAAGCCTGTGAAGACTAAAAGGGTCAGTAGCAGTTCATAATTCAATAATGCATAATTTAATAACTAAAAAAAAAAGAAAATTACAATAAAAATAATCAAAGTAAATGAAATTATCAAAATCTTCTATTTTTATACAGTGTAAATACATTACTATTTTAATTTCATATAATCTAAAATATTATTGAATTTCACCCGTTTTAAAATTACCTTATTTCTATAAAAACTTTTAAAAATACATATTTGAATATTGTTAACCTAAATTATTTTTAAAACGTACATTTTAACCGTCATTTAATGTTTTTATTAGTATGATAGAAATCTAAAAACATTTTTAAACTCTATATATTTATATGCAAACTTAAATAATCAGTATATTTTTTAAGAAAATAAGCAAAATTATATATTTATTTTAGAGTTTCGATAATTTCATGTACTGGTTTCGTTTAATAGTTGATGTTATATACAGTATTTTTGTTACTAAATAGATTTTAGATTTTTTTGATAATTTTTTAAAAGAATTCTCAATTTAATCTAAATTAAAACTATCAAAACTCTAATAAACTATTAATGTGAACTAGTTTTTATCATCAAAACTTAATGAATATTAATTATATTTTAACTATTAAATAAGAGTATATATGAATTTTTTATATTTTAGTAGGGATTGAGAAAAAAAAGAAGTTAAAACGATTATTAAAAAACTAAGGGAATACATTTTTATTTGATTCTCTCTTAAAAACTCAGTTTATTTGGAACCCTGAATTCCATAAATTTTTTTGGGGTTTTAAAATTCAGTCATTAAACTAGGGAAAAAAAGGAATCACTAGACTCTAATAAAGGTATTATTGTTAGGGTGACTATTTTGGTTATTAACCGAATAACCGAACCGAATAAGACATAACCGTATCCGAACCGATCCCGACATCAAAACCGAACGGTTATGATTTCCTTACATCCGAAAAAACTGAAGCTGAACCGAACCGAATAAAAAATAATCGAAAAAACCGAGAGAATAACTGACAATTTCTTTGGAAAATTAAACTTTTTATCGAAACCGAACCGAATCCGAACCGAAATTTATATAAAAACCGAATGGTTATAGTTTTTCTATAACCGAAATAACTGAACCCGGATATAACCGAACCGAAACCCGAATTGGCCACCCCTAGCTATCATTACATATCAAAGATTGCATTAAAAGATGCCATTGTCCGAACCCATGTATTGGTTCATGCAGCTGGCAATGAATGACAAACAGATTGCAATCACATGATACAGATTGCAAAGAAGAGTTGATCCATCGTATAAATATAAATCATCAAAATATACCACCATGGTCATAATATATATATATATATATATATATATATATATATATGAATATATGTATATATACACAATATTCAATATTCATGATGCTGAAAGGCTTCACTTCACCATATATTAACACTCCGAGTCGCTCCAAGCGTGAGGGCCATCATATAGACAACAGACTGCGCAGATTTCAGCACCAAGGAGAATGGAAAAGGAAAATGTATCAGAGACTCTGCTGATGAACGCATATGAACTAAAAAGACTGCGACTTTTTTTGATCTTCCAGAGTAATTTTCCGGTGGTATGATGAAGAAGGGGGAAAGGAAGAAGACGGGACGAAACAGTGATAGGAACTCACAGCGATGGCGCAGGCAATGTATCCGGGCTTCTCTCTGTAGTCAACAGATGTGCAAAGAAGGATAAATGCCCCGAGGTACCAGGGAATGCCGCCGAACAAGAACCCGAGGATAAACCTGGAAAACAGAGCCAAGACCTTACACATGAACAACGAGACATGTTTATGCGGGTAGGGCACAGAAAGACGGGCGGGGAGGAAAAAACTTTCGAATCTCGGTTAAGTGTAAACCTTCCATAGGCAAAGTGTACGGATTAGACGCTCAAAAGGGTGTGTCGTATCATACAACAAATACAGCGGTTTCACTAGATTATGATTTTCTAAAAAAACAGGCGACTTCTCTCTAAAAACGGGCGCAACTGAAAAGCAATTCAAAGTCAGATTCCTATGAAGAACAATGCTCTCAACTCCGGCAGAGAATCTAAGGCGGGATCTGCAACTGATTATGATCATTGATGACACAACTCTAGTACACAACATTCAGGAAACTAAGAACAAACACGAAAACCACCATATGAAACGCTATAACGAAGGCAGAGAGCGGAGTTCAGAGAGCGGAGTTCATGCTTGATTTGGTACGATCTTCCACATGGGAAGATGCACAATGCAGTAGAAACTCGAGCAAAGTAAGCAAACCTTTGAGAAGGCAATTCACATATCAAAATGATAGAAAAAAACTAAGGGAACTTACAGGAACCAGCCCATGCCCAAGCCACAGCAAGGAAGGCTATGTTCAGTCATCGGTCTCACCTCAACGACAGTGTAACCTAAAAACAACAAAACCAGAACAAATAACAATTCAACAACATCAACCCTCATCCTCTGACCATTACGCGACTATGGACAGATTAAATCTGTTGAAATTTGCCATTGGATCTTATGAAAATTCACCGGAAAAGGGTGTTTTTCTTCTAAACATGACAGAGGGATTGAGATTTGATGAATTACCGGGAACAACTTGATATCCTTGAGGTTGAGGATAATTCACAAAACCTCCACCATGACCTGAAATTTCAATAGCAAAAACTTTTCAAAAACCGGGAAGACCCATAAACCATGTTTAAAAAAAAAAGGTTCAAAACAGATATAAAAAAAAAAACCTTGAACATTCTGATAAACAGGGCCGGGAAACATGGGATTCGGGGCAACCGCTGGCTGAATCTGCGGCGGAGGATAATAGTTCGCGACGCCTTGAAACGTGCCGTAATAGCATTGACGCTGCTGCTGGTCTGCGACGGAGCCGCCGAGTTTTCCCGCCTCCTCGTCCATGATTCCTTCCTCGAGACAGATCCGGTAGCTTCGCTTTCTCGCGGTCCGAAGATCAAGATTTCGCCAACTTCCTCCGCCGTGTTCAGGCGGAGGCTAATGGTGGAACAATCGCCGAGGGGGGGAGAGAGAGAGAGAGAGAGAGAGAGAGAGAGAGAGAGACGCGTTGGAGAAAAGTATGATCGAGGAGACGGAGTGCGATTTTGACCCAGACAAAAATCCGGGTACGAATCCAACCCGACCCGGATTAGTTGGGCCTTATTGGGCTGATCAAAGAGCCCAACTAGTGAGTCCACGAAAAAGATGTGAAATTAAATTATAAATGTAAATATATAACTATATATATATATATATATCAAATTTATTGACAAAGAGAATAAATACTGGTGACATTTGATGACGCTTATAATGTATCCAGGATTCGAAGTTCTTACCCTATTTTCTTATATTAAAACGGGTGAGTAGGGTAAAATAACATATATATATATATATATGTAGCATTTATATACAAACAACATGTAACTTGACGAAATTACCCCTATATATATATATATATATATATATATCATAAGCCCAGTAAGTTCCGGAGAAAATGGTCTTCCTTTGATCAATCAACAACAGCAAAAAGCTGTAATTAAATTCTAAAGAGACCCTTTTTATTTTGTCAAACTAATACAAAAAGAAATAGGGTTGATGAAATTGGGCTCCACTTATTAATCTCTCACCTGTTAGACAGATCATAGTTTAAAATATCTAATGCATCTTTTTTTGATATATCTAATTAGAAGTCGGCGTTTCGGACTTCTTAACTGTTCGTTTCGGAAATAGTTTATTTATTATTTTAAATTTTATACCAAATTAGTACCGTATATTATTTGGTTTGGTTTGGTTCGGTTTCAATTTTGGTACGGTTCGGTTTCGGTTTTTATTAAAAAAAATCGATTTTTTTAAATAGATCTTTTTAAAAAAATCGTTTTTTTTCAGAAATTTTATAAAGTTGGATTCGGTTTTATAAAAAACATGTCGTTTGAAATTTTCGATTGATACGGTTTGAAAAAATATCGAAATTTTCAGTTCATTACAATTCGGTTAAAAACGAACCGAGACGGCCACCCCCTCCATTTGATAGTAAACCATATTATATTATATTATGTGCATGAAGGTACATGGTAAATTAAAGATTTAAACTAGTTTAAAAAATTACAGGAGTTGAGGAATCTTGGTTTAAAAGGACACTGCCCCTCGAGTTCTCAACCCTACCCTTTTTGCTCTCTGCCCGAAAAGAACATTAGACACTTTCACAGAGAGAGAGAGAGATTTGTTGAAGAAGGAGAAAATGGGTTGGAGCAGCAACAGACGCAAATGGGTCGCCATTCTCACGCTTATGCTCGCCGCCGCCGCCGCCGGAAAAGACGCCGGAGCTCCGGCGGTCGAAGACGGTACGCTTCTCTCGTTCACACCCTGTGCAGTTTCCTTGAGCTTTCATGGCGATTCTGTGTTGGGTTGTTTCTGGGTTTCCTAAAGCAAAAACCTTTACCTAGATTTCAGAAATCCGACCAAGAATCTGTGATTTTCTTGCTTAAAGGAGATTACTTTAAAACTAAACCTTCTATTCCAATTAGAGGCTCTAACATTGAATCAGAACTCGTCGTCAGCTTATGAATAATGATGTATTAACGTAAGTGGAGAACAAAGTTTCAACCTTTATGGTATATTATTCTCTGAGTCAACTCGGAAACATGAAGTGTTTTGCCTAAGATTTTGTACGGTTTTATGTTAACTCACCGGGTTGGAGTTGGGGTGTGAATAGTAATTTAAGTTTAATCGATCTCAATCCGGGATAAAATGAAAGTTAGTGGGTCAGTTTGTCAATTCCGAAAAGTTTGACGTCACCGTCATCGCCACCATCTGCTCGAAGGTCCTTTGTTCGTCTTTGTGACTTTGACTTAATTATCCTCTTATTATTTTGTGTATTAAGTAAATAAAAATTTATATATTATGGTGTATTTACTCGTGAAAATTTGGAAAATCCCGATTGGTCCATGTTACATTTTAACGTGTTAATGAACTTATTGATAACAATGTGTGTTACATGGACCATGTTGAAAATACTAATCTTAGTAAATATTAATTGAAGTTATTTTCTTGAAACTTGGGATAGCTATTTTTTATGGGTAAAACCCGTAAAAATTTATAAACGGAAAACAAATTTTTAAACTTTTCGGTGAAAAATTTATTTCCAAATTTAAAAATTAATTTTTAAATTTGTTTAATGATGATATATCATTATAATTCTCAAATTTATTAAATGATGTCAGTTTGAGAATTTAAAAATCAGTTTGAGAATTTTAATGATATATTTTATAAGTTTGAGAATTATAATTATATATATTTTATAATTTTAAGAATATTTTTTTTAAAATCTAAATTATTTTTTTTACCGGTTATAAATTCAAAAAAAATTATGAATTTTTTTTTATTAAAGATAAAAAAAATAAGATGTTGCTCCACATGTACGGTCCACTTTTTTCTTTAATTTGTCTAATAAATAAAAAAACGACATTGTCTCCTTAGCAAAACGACATGGAAATGCCACTATTTTTAGGACAACTTCTCTACAGCCTGTTTTTTTTTTGTCTTTTTTATTTAAAAAAAACAAATAATTTTTAATTTTTAAAATTTACTTCAAATCTTTTTACGTTCCCTTTTTTCAAATTTGGTAAATGAATGGAAATAAAGTTATTTTTTTTTTCATTTTCCTTGAAAAAGAGGGCATTTTGTTGAATGTGTAAATGTAAATGTAGTTTTCCAAGTCAAAAGGACTGTTGAAATATATGGGCCCCAGGCCCAGTTGAGGTTGACGTGTAGGGCCCTTGTGATCACAGCAATTGGATGAGGAATAGGAATTATTAGCTGTATTTTTATTTTTTTATCTGAATTTTTGTAATTTTTTTATTAACGGATTGAAAATACTACAAAATGTTTTTGTTTAAAAATAAAATCCTCTATTTTCATACCCCAGGAAAAATATCACATTTTCGCACACATTTTTCTAATTTTTCTTATATATTTTAGGAGTTACATTATCCAAAATGTATTTTTTTTTCAATTCAATCAACGGTCCAAAATTGCAGCGTGGGCATTTTGGTATTTAGTTCTATAAAATTATTTTATATTCGATTTGGTTCAGTCTTTGGTTCAGTTTTTATTTTGAAAATTTTAGATTTTCTTAACAAATTTTCGATTTATAATCATTCAGTATTGAACGATTATATATTATTTTGATTTACAAATAATATGTTCATCCATAATTTATTCATTTAGAAAAGTTTTTTATAATATCTCTGAAAACGTTCTAAATTCATGTTTATAAATTCCAAATTTACTTTCAACTCTTCATTATGATTTTGAAGCGATTTTGTTTATATATTATTATCCTGAGACCTTATAGGCCTAGTGGTGAACGGCGATTTCGAAACGCCGCCGCCCAACGGCTTCCCGGACGACGCGGTGGCCGACGGTCCGAACGGTATCCCGAGCTGGCTGTCCAATGGCACCGTCGAGCTGGTCCAGTCCGGCCAAAAACAAGGCGGAATGATCCTGATCGTGCCGCAGGGCCGACATGCCGTTCGGCTTGGCAACGACGCCGAGATCAGCCAGGTACTGACCGTGGAGAAGGGCTTCGTCTACTCGGTCACGTTCAGCGCCGCCCGCACGTGCGCTCAGCTCGAGTCGCTGAACGTGACGGTGTCCGCGTCGGAAAACGCTGACGCGGTGACCGCGTCCAGGAACATCGACCTGCAAACGCTGTACAGCGTTCAAGGTTGGGACCCGTACGCGTTGGCGTTTGAGGCCGAGGATGAGAAAGTGCGTCTGGCGTTTAAAAACCCTGGTATGGAGGACGACCCCACATGTGGGCCCATCATTGATGACGTCGCTATTAAGAAGCTCTTCACTCCTGATAAGCCTAAAGGTAAATATTTACATCATCTTTTTTTTTTTAAAATGAACTCTTAATCTTTTTTAACGAGTTATATATATATATATATACAAGTATATATGGCTTGGTCACATAAAGTCTGGATTTTTTAAAATAATTTCGCTCAAGTTTGGATCTTTTTAGATAATTTTTTCGTTTCCGTAACGTGTTATATCCAAAAACATATAATCAAAATTCAATTTGGATTATAAATTATAATGTTCGTTTTTTTATTCATGTTTCAGACAACGTTGTCGTTAATGGAGGCTTTGAAGAAGGTCCATGGATGTTCAGGAACACTTCCCTCGGCGTGCTTCTCCCCACGAACCTCGACGAAGAAACCTCGTCCCTCCCCGGTTGGACCGTCGAATCGAACCGGGCGGTCCGGTTCATCGACTCGGACCACTTCTCGGTCCCACAGGGGAAGCGAGCCGTCGAGCTTCTCTCCGGCAAAGAAGGCATCATCTCTCAGATGGTCCAGACCAAACCGGACCGGCCCTACACTCTCACCTTCTCCCTCGGCCAAGCCGGCGACAAGTGCAAGGAGCCACTGGCCGTGATGGCTTTCGCCGGCGATCAAACACGGAACTTCCATTACATGGCTGAATCGAACTCGAGCTTTCAGACGGCGGATCTGAATTTCACGGCCAAGGCCGATCGGACGAGGATCGCCTTCTTCAGCATTTATTACAACACGAGGACCGACGACATGAGCTCCTTGTGTGGACCTGTGGTCGATGATGTTAGGGTTTGGTTTTCGGGGTCGGTGAGAATTAGGGCTTCCATATTAGGGTTTCTGGTTTTCGTCGCCCTTCTCGCCATCGTTCTGGTTTAGGGTTTGGCCATGGCTATGATTGTTCTATATCTACGCATCGGTTTAAGCTTAATATAAATACTCCAAAACGCTGTCGTTTTGGCATGGCTTTTAACAGTCATGAGTTTAAGCGTCGTCGTTTTGGTGTGGAGATAAGCGTCGTCGTTTTGACATGGATTTAAGCGTCGTCGTTTTAGTAAGGGATTTAAACGTCGTCGTGTTTGGATGGGATTAAACGTTGTCGTTTTGTGATGCTGCTTTAAACGTCATCGTTTTAGGGTGCGTTTAAACGTCGTCGTTTCAAATGTTCTTTATTTATAATCTGAAGCCTCTCACTCTGCTCTCTCCGCCGCCATCTCCTGCGATTTCCCGAGCTATGGATTTGATCGAAGCTCGCAGGAGATTTTTTCTCTGTCGTTTTCTTTCTTCGAATCTATGAATTTTTGAAGTTGTTTGAATCGGTAGATATGATGTCGAGGGTCTTATCTCTGGTCGTAGGATTCATGGTTCTATGATTAGGGTTTTTCAGGAAAGTGAAAGTTTTCCGATTGTTTGAATCGGTGCCAAGGGCTTGTGTTTTGGGTATAGGATTCGTTGTTTTAGGGTTTTCAGGGTAAACTGGAAGCATTTCGTATCGTGACAGAGATCGGTGAACATGATGAGATATAACAGGTACTTAAGATCAGGTCGAATATTCTCGAATGTTTCATGGCGCAGCTTTAGCTCAAGCTGTGCCGAAATCTTCCCGAGATGTTCGATCTGAATTGACTATACGGAAGTCATTGCTTTCTGATTCAATCTCTGTCCAGATTCATTCAATCTGCCAATTTTGGGGCATTTCCTTGTTTCTGCAACTTAGGTGTATCTCTCTCAGTACATTGATCGATGCAGTACTGATTCAGAGTACTGGGGATCTGCAATCTGTTATGTCTGAATAGAACAGCATCCAAATCTTTTGTAGAAAAAACGTTCTTTTAGCCGATGTTCCTTGTGTGTGTGCTTGGTTTGAAACAGCGAGCAGTTTTCTGAAAATGGTGGTTCTGTAGTGTTGATGCCATGAAACTCCTTTGTTTTGTTTTGTTTTTTCAGTGTTGAGTTAGTGTTTCGTCTTCAGGGCTTTCTCCGTGTTCAGTTTTCTTGCCTTGTTCTGGTCGGGATCGAGATTTCCTCGACGATGATCGCATTTTGATAATGACAGGGTTTTCTCAGTGTTGAGTTTTATCGTCCCGAGCGGCATTGTAGGGGATGCAATGAGATCTTACGAGCTCAATAACGTCTGTCTCGATGATTAAACTTTCCGGCGAACGATCTCTATCGTCGGTCTTTAGTGCAGGTAACCGGATAATGGTTGATTTGCTCTGCTGTTCCATGAACAGAAACCCTCGGATTCAGGGAGAAGGTAACTGTTTTCACTGCCTGGAGACAATGCCGTTTGATGATCAAATCTTTTACGGTGGCATAACCCTTTTGATATCATGTAATGGCAAAGCAATCATTCCTATAAAAAAAGACCATGATTTTGTTATTGTGGAGTCATGAGCGTGAATAAATTTTGTATATGCAAATTTATCAATATACTTTTTACAATAATTTATATGTGGATGTATCAATATTTTAGTTTAGTAGTTTGTGATAATTGGTTTATTAAATTAGAAACTTACCTTTTACTTTTTAGAAACTATAAAAACATACTGATTTTTACTAAAAATAATTATAAAATTATTTTTAATTTGTTGTAGAATTTGAATGCGGATCCAAATTATCTTTTGAATATTCAAAACTTGAACTCTTGCTCAATTACAAATTATAAACCTCATATTTTGATGGGCTACATTGCAATGATTGCATACTTTAGGGATGCGGAAATTAAATATAGAAAATGAGGACATTAATTCACGTGAAGCATGAACAAGAAAAAATGTATGGGGGTGTAATCTTTCATTCAAAAACTATAAGGCTTGGTCCGCAATAAACATAAAATATTGGGGCTGTATTTATATAAGAATATCTTTCGACTCGACTTGGTTTAGAACAGTCGCCCGTCTTTTGGTCAATCGCCGGCGAGAATGAGGCGACTGACTCATCCTTTCACTTCGGCGAGGAATTTCGTCGAACACTTGCGATGCATCTCCTTCTCCTTCTGCAAGTCCATCTCTTCCCTTTCGATCGACCCGATTCGCCGACCCGACACCCGAGAAGACGACCCGACCCACGACCCGTATTCCCTTCTCAGAGAGGACCCCATCGATATCTGTCTCTCCCTCTGGGTCAAATCTTTCGCCTCCCCTTCTTCTGCAACTTTCTCCAATCTCTCCGGCTTCCTCTCCAAGTTCGACTTATGGGTCCTCGCCTACCAGCGCGCGTGCGCTCACGTCACCGGCACTTTCCCTCCTCGCAATGCCATCCAATCCAGCGCTCTCCACGCGCTACTCTCTCTGCAACGCGTTGTCACGCGCGGCAGTGGCCGATTCCCGTGGGATGATAAGCTGAACCAGATCGTGCGGAGCCCGAACGATAGAGCATCGGCGAATGGAGGAAAGCCCTTGTCGAGAGGGAAGCTAAAGAGGTTGATGGAGTCGGAAGAACCGATTTTTCAGGACAGGGTGGTTCAGGAGGTTCTGCTGATGGTGCTCGAGCCGTTCTTCGAGGCGAGATTTTCGGGTAAGTCTCATGGGTTTCGTCCTGGTAGAAACCCACATACTGTGATTAGAACCATCAGGAGCAATTTCGCTGGGTACTTGTGGTTCATGAAGGGTGACGTTAGTGAGCTGTTGGATCGTGTGGACATTGATGTGGTGACGAGTTGTGTTGAAAAGGTTGTCAAGGATAGGAAAGTCATAGGCTTGATCAGATCTTCTCTGAAAATGCCCGTTAAGAAAGTGTTTGATGGCGCTGATGATGGCGGAAAAGATGATGGATTGGGAGCTAAAAGGAATAAGAGCCGTGAAAAGAGGAACAAGACTAGAAAGAGAATTTTGAATGAGGATGAGCCAAAACCAGATCCTTACTGGCTGAGGACTTTCTACAATTTTGCTCCTGAAGAGGCTGGGAAGGTGCCCTCTTATGGCTGTTGTGGCATATTGAGTCCGTTGCTTGCTAATGTATGTCTTAATGAGTTGGATCAGTTCATGGAAACGAAGATAGTTGAGTATTTTAGACCTTGTAAGAACGATTCCATCTGGAAAGAGTCCATTGACGACGGTTGTCACAACCCATCGTGGCCGGAGTTTGTTCCATCAAGTGGTAAGGAGAAAACCAGGAAAATGGATTACATTCGGTACGGAGGCCATTTCTTAATTGGGGTTAGAGGGCCTAGAGAGGATGCAGTTCAAATCCGAAGGGAAATAATTGAGTTTGTTGAGAGAAATCTAGGTTTAAAACTGGATAATTCGAAGATTGAAATTGAACATATTAGCCGGGGTATTCATTTCCTAGACCATATAATTTGCAGAAGAGTTATTTATCCAACTCTACGTTACACATCAAGTGGAGGCAACATTGTTAGCCAAAAGGGCGTGGGAACTTTGCTTTCGGTGACTGCTAGTTTAGAACAATGCGTCCGTAAATTTAGACGGCTTGCATTTGTGAAGGGTGACAAAGATCCCGAGCCTTTACCTTGTATTCCGATGCTCTATTCAAGCCAGTCTCATACCAATTCTCAGATGAACAAGTTTCTCGAAACCATGGCTGATTGGTACAGATATGCAGACAACCGCAAAAAGGCTGTTGGGTTCTGTGCTTATGTTGTCAGAAGCTCTCTGGCTAAACTATACGCTGCAAGGTATAGACTGAAATCCCGTGCCAAGGTGTACAAAATCGCATCACGGGATCTTAGCCACCCATTGAGGGAGAGTAGCAATAATGCTGCACCTGAATACTCCGATCTTCTGAGAATGGGACTAGTTGATGCTATTAAAGGAGTTCAGTTCTCTCGTATGTCTTTGATTCCGTCTTGTGATTATACTCCGTTCCCTAGGAATTGGATCCCAGAGCATGAGCAGGTTTTGCAGGAGTACATTAGACTACAAGATCCAAAATTCTTCTGCGAGTTGCATAGATCGATTAAACGTGAGGGCCTAGCCTTGCCTCAGGACGAGATATCGGAGATTTTGTGGGATTTCAAGACCCTTGGTGCTCGAAGACATACATAATTACATACGGTCGTAGGAAAGAAGCAGATAACAATTTGGAGAAAGTAGATCCATCACCATGACTTGTTTTTGAAGTTTGGGTGTGAGAGAGATATCTGATTCCAGAAGGTATAGTTTCACATTAGGAGGAACATCGTAAGATTCATAACTGATACACAAGAGCCGACCAAATAGGAAACTGATCACATGGAGAAACCATTTCACGTTAGAGTGGTATAGTTTCACGTTAGGGGTACATCATACCTGAGAGTTTTGGTCTGGAGTTCGTGGCAAACATTGTCGGTTCACAAGGGGGTTTAGGGTTTAGGGTTTAGGGTTTAATCTTCGTTACCCGAACATACCGGTATATTCAGTAACCTTTAGCATTGCCTAGCCTCTCGGGTGATGTCAGCAAGAATGAAGAAAGGTGCTTTATGTGGTGAACCTTATGCTCTTTTGTTTTTGGCTAAAAGTTGATATATATATATATGTCATCTAATTTCAAACCGTTTATTTGATCCCAGGATGGTGGAAGATGTTTGAAGAGACAATCAAGGAATCTTCTTCTTAATTGCATTCAGGTATACAGCTTTATCAGTTTTTCGTAATAACAGAAGTTCCAACCTAGCCTTCCTGTTCTTGATATGAACTTTGCTTCTAATGGCATTTCATTTTACTGATTCACTGTACTGAATTAGTTCTCATACAATCCAGATTTCATACTTCAAGTTATGATATTGAATAAGCTCCATCCGGGTTGATATATATGACAAGTTTAATCCTTTATTTACTCTAGTTCATCATCCATAAGAACGTATGGTATCCCAATCTTAGTATACAAACCCTGAAATTGTATACATTCCCTTTCTGCTGATCATAACCCTCTTTTTCTCAGTCTTCGCTCTCAAAGGCTGAAACTTTAAATGTTCTTGACAGGCCAGTGATATTAGAGAACGTGATCTTCCCGGGATCCTGCTTGTTGATGAAGATATCGTGAACGGGAACCCAAATCATGAGCTCCTTCGCCTTGATTCCGGTAAGTCTCCTCAGCCTACCGTCCTCGACAAAGGCCGTGATCTCTGTGTCATACGATACTTTCCGGCCTATTGCTCGGAATTTATGCTCAATCTTGTTTCTCATCTTCAACCACACAAAACCCTTTGTTTTATTATACCCAACTTCTTCCAAATCCTTCAATGGCAGAAGTCCTTTGGGCAAGTTAATTAGGGCTAGAAGCTCCTCTGCCTTTTCCTTACAGAGAATGGGTTCACTGTATATCTCTACTTCGTCACTCTCCTCAGTTAGAATCTCCATTGCTGCTGCCACTTCCATTGATAAATCCTTCTGGTTCTTGCCCTAAAAACCCGAAAACCCTTCTCCGGGCCTAAACCGATCTGTTTCTCCGCCCAGGAAATGATGGGTAATGGCCCTTATAGAAGGGTCTTTGAGTCTAATAAAGGTGTTTTAGAGTTCTGGAAAATGGGAAATGAGAATTGTATGGTGATTATTTTCAGGCGCAGATCAATGGATGGCACCACAATTGTGTGGTGTCATAACTGAGAATTCTTGGGATGATTTCATACACTGGCAAATTGCTGATTATGTTGATTTTGATTGTGATTTTGAAATGATCTGCAGATCTGAAATCAGTTATCTTTGTAATATTATGGGATTCGGGTTCGGACATGGGCCGAACGGATCCGTTTAATACCTTACTTGTTACGGGTGGGTACGGATCGAATACCCAAAAATTTGAGAGTACTCAAACCCAAAACCGAATGTCTCAGTTTATTGATTTTATTACCCGAACTCGTGTCCGTAAAATCGGGTACTCGAATTTAAAAACCTGTGAAATAATTACCGAGTAGAAGTATCCGTGAGTACCCGAACCCAAATATCTTTAATCATTTACAATCAATTTTTTAAATAATTTTATATATACATATTCTAAATCAATTTAAATCATATTTATATCCAAAATAAACTTAAAAGTTTTTTTAAAAATACATCAGGTCAAGCTTTTATTATGCCTTGCTGTCAAACCGAAGTTACTTCTGATTCAAGTAACCATTCAATAACCAAAACGTTACACAGAGATCTATTGGAAATTTCCATAATTTTCATTAACAATATATTTATTTTATTTATTTTTTAATATTCTAATCTTCCATCAACATTTTCCCCTTGGCAACGGATATTTGTGTGTATAAAATAATGTACATATAATGCGATCCAAATGTTATAAAGAAAAATGATTTCATTAATGAGAATAATCGTTATACGGTATGCACCCATGAATGGTTTCCATCTTGGATGAGCCACGTAATTTCTTATTCAATTTAAATTGGTTAAAAAAAATTTCAATAGAGAAAATTTTAACAAAACTTCGTTTTATATATTAGAAAATAAAGAACATTAATTTTTTCAATTACCGAAATTTTCTGAATTTTTGGAATGTTGTATTAAAAAAGTTAGCTCTATAAATCACAATAAAACACGTTATATATATATTATAAAAGTTCCCAACCAAACGGGTACAACTGTTGAAGCCCAAAGTCTAGCCCAACCCATGGGCTCTTTCTATGCTGTTATTATTATTATTATTATTATTATTATTATTATTATTATTATTATTATTATTATTATTATTATTATTATTATTATTATTATTATTATTATTATTATTATTAAGTGAAAAATAAATAACTTTTTTTTTCGCTGTTAGTGGTATTATTATTACATATCCACAGATCGGATTTGGCTTTGATTTTTGCCGGTTTTTGAAATTTCTTTGTTTTATGAGATTTATTCATTTTTTTTTCACATATTTATCCAAATGTATATCTATCTATACATTCCCGAAATGGAGAGGTTTTTGTTATCATGTTTCCTTTTGTGTATATATATATATATAATATTCTCTCAACATGCAGTGGCACTGACAGTAACGAACATATCTAGTCTAAAATTTAGCAAAGACATTAATTAAATTAAATCTTATTTTAATAGTAACATGTTCCACTCCAAAAATCCCACAGAATTTAACCAAAAAAAAAAATCCACTGAAATATCTTGTTACACTCTCCTGCCACAGAATTTAACCATAAGATTACGTACATGCAATATACGCTACACAATATATATAATATTATATATATACGTAGTATATATATATATCTATATATATACGTGTAGGGTTCGTATTTATCGGGGCAGCATGAAATCCACGTGACAGTTCCGGTGACTGACGGCGGAGTTACGGCGTCGTCAACGTGACGTACGTGCTTTCGTCGTACGGCTTTATTTCAATTTCATTGCATGAAACCTATTTTTTATATTAATTTTTTTTTTATCTTATTTGACATTAAACTTCGTACCCATATGATAATATTACCTCGTCATCCACGTGAACATTTCGTGGGTTTGTCGAACTCAATTTAATAGGTTCACTCGATGAGGATAATCTTAAAAAAATTATACAAAAACTTAAAAAATTTATGATTCAGATTTAAATTATAAAACATAGAATAAATGGATTATAGACGATTTTTTATTGTTATTTGATTTATAGATATATTACTTAAATTTTCGTTCAAACCCTAGAGCAAACAATTTTTTCTAAATGGGAATGATCGAGAATGTCCATTTTCACTTATTCAAACCAATTTATTATGTTATAAAATATAAATTATATGCTATTACCTAAATATAAATTTTTTTTCTCAAGTAATCTTTTCACCACTGCAAAAAAAAAATTAAGTCACTTTCTATATTTAGAAAATATGCGATCTCGAGGTATCAAATTTCAAAGTCATTAAATTTGTTTGATTTCATCTACTCACACTAATTTATTATTACGTTATAAAATATAAATTGTTTTTTATAAAAATAAACTTATATACTTCACAACAAAAAAAAATAAATAGGTTGGACTAGAAATTATTTAAAAAAAATACACAATCTTAACTATAGTTTATATATGATATTTTTAAACATTTGTTTGAACATTTTAGATTTAGATATTCGAGGATACCCAAAAATTATTTCGGATATCCGATTTTTCGGATACTCGAACAAATCGGATTCGAGTTCATGTAATATAATATGAAAAATTTGGGTTCGGATAATTTCCGTATATACGATCGTCCTCATCCCTAATCTCTATATAGTTAAGTATTTTTTATTTTTGAACGGTTTTTATATTGATTATATATAGTGTATTAGTGTGATAATTTCAGAAATTCTAATTAAAAAAAAATCGATAAGATTAAAATGTAATCTGGCAGGACGTTTCCAAACAATACCAAACTATTGATAGAAAAATATTTCAAATGGATCGTGGAAGTTTGGATTTGATCAAATAAACAGTTTGATTTATCTATATTTTTCAATTAAATTAAATTAAAATCTAAATATAAAACACTTTATGTGTTGCGCGTGTGCACACTCGCGTGCTAATGTAAACTCGTGGAATCTTTGAAATTGAAAGTTTTTGGCAAATGGAATGCGTATATTCCAAAAGGAATAATTATTTATTTTACATCAATAAACAAAAAAACAAATAGAGATGAAAAAGTCATTCAAAAAAAAAATAAGAGAGAGATATAAAGCCACGTCAGCTAATGTACCCTAACTTTCCACGTGTCATTAGCCCTCGTCTATCTTGTTTGAGGAGCTTTAAGCTGTTGCCACGTCACCAACTTTGGTCATATATATTATATATATATATATATCCCGAAATTATGCGTAAAAGGTTGAATATGTAACCGATTCGAAATATTATATAGAAGTAAAGCAGGAAAAATCATATTCATAATTTGTCTATGGTGATTTATCAAAATATCTGCATACGGTAAATTTTTGTGGATTGTGAATTTCATTGTATATAATTTCTCTTTCAAGATTAAACTATTCGTATATTTTATGTTTACTATAAATTAAAATATAAAATTATATGAGAAAGGGTTGTGACAGAAAATACTTATTTAAGGTAAAGTTTTCAATGTTATCTCCCTTTGTATATTATAGGTTTTAAATGTATAATATTACGAAATAAAAATAGATGAATAATAGAATTAAAGTCGACAAATAACAGAGAACTCCCAAATTATCCAACTATATCTTCAAAATACAAATGTTACGGTTGTTATATAAAAATGTTTTTTTTAATCCACTTCAATACATTAAATCCAAAGATAGAGATAGATTGAAAATTTATTCTCAATAAATGATAATTTAATCATGTTTAAAAGATTTTATTTTAGAATATAATTAAAAATATTTTGTATATTACCCATTTTTTCAATATTAATATTCTTATATTTTTAATATAAAAAAATTCTAGATCATTATATATAAATAGATAACCAGTTATAAATAATTGGGCATCGAACCCATTGCCGTCACGACCAATTCATATTCGGAAAACTTACAATAAGACAACAAAAACCAAACAAACCCACAAGCTTTAGTTCCTCTCCGACTGGTCCATGCATTGTTCAATTTTTTATTATATATATATATATATATATATATTATTTTACTTTTTGAAACAAAAAATTAAAAAAAATTGTCAAATAGGTTTATAGACTTTGACACCTGAATAATCCTATACATACATATATATATTGATTTTAACACATGTATGATGTGATTTGACAATCTAAATACCCATTAAAAGGCTCTCCATATAATCATAATTTCATTTTAAAATTTAATTACGGAATTAGTCTCCTCCTTTTTTTAGCTATAATTCATCATTATCCCATCTACATTTTTTTTTTCGTACACGTACATTGAACCGAAATTAAATTTTGCTGCCGACTAATTAAATGATCTTGGTTACTTATATAATTGTCGAAAAATTCCATTATAATTTTGAGTAGCTTTATATACATATATATATATATATATATAGTTCTAACCCTTGAAATCATTTGAAAATTACGCAACCATATCATATTATGCATTGGTGTGTCTGTATAAAAGAAATATTAATATTTTCCAAGATTTTATTTTATGAGTTATCAATTTCCTCAAGGGATTAAGTGATTCACATTTAAACACGAAGACCAAACATTTCGCAATATAAAAATAAAATCCAGCGAAGCAAATTTATGAAAAGCAGTGTGACTGATGCGTCTGTATGTTACGTCTCTTCCTGTGCATCTGTACAATGCCCATCTGCATATATATATATATATATATATGTATGGAAATTCGAATATTTTACTATTTCTTACAAAATTTAATTTTCCTTTTTATACGTAAAATATAAATTACTACATGAGATTACGAGACCTTGAAACTGCATCCATCGCATATACCAATGATTTAAATTTACGGTAAGAAAACCGAATTGCATTCATTACAGTGTGATATAATATCTCATATATATATACATATATATATGTGTACGAATGTATGTGTGCATGCATGCATGCATGTACGTGGGCGCTTGTGTATATATATATATGTACGTGTTGATGGATGACTTTGCACCACTGACACTCTCTCTGCCGTTATGTATTGTGTTCTTTTTATGATGAAACTGACGTGTCGATTCTACAAACACTTTCTAAAAGTGTATACATAAATATGTACATATACTAACAGACGGTCCATTGAATTGAATCGGATTTTATTGATG